AGTATGTATTTACCATTATGTAAACCGTTTACGTCCTAGAAGGCCCGCTTAGGGCCTTCTGATGACTGTCGCGCCAGACCGAGTATATCACTGCGGAGCACGCTAAGCGTATGGATAGATAATCTAAAGTGAAGGACTCTCACGAGACTGCGATAAGTTAAACAGATAACGAGAGAGCAAAACAAATAAATAGTTTCACGGAATATAAAATTCTAAAGGCTCAGGGCTCGGGTGTATGTTCAGAAGACAAAAAATCTACCACATATATCTAGGCACCCAGGAATGCAGTGGCTTAAGCCTGTAATCCTAGCTGCTCATGAGGCGCTAGGACGATTCACAGCCGTTGAAGTGTCACATGAGACGTTTCATGACAGAGAGAGAGAGTTTCTCTCACGAGAATAACGGCGACATCATTCAACTCAAACGTGCGTGGCGTAAGCAGGATTGGTGCAACTGCACGCAACTGGTTGCATACCCTGCGGCACGAATTGGTATGCTCGATAGGGTATCAGATGGCTGTAGCTGGGAGAAGAGAGCGAGACTGCCATCTCAAGGACAGTCTCATGACAACAAGGAACTATGTTGAGTGCATAGGTGGGTTTAGAGGCAGTCGCGAAATGAGGACTCTCTGGGGTCAGTAAATTGATAGTCTCAAAATAAAGAATCCAAGTGATCTGATTCAGCTCAGCATCTCATGGATTCTTATGAGGTCAGCTTTGAGTTAAATTGCCCACTTCAGTCAACCGTAGTGAAAAGAAAGAAGGGATCTTCCTAAAAAGACATTTTTATTAGTATATATTATTTATGTAGAGGAGTTTCATTGTGACACTTACATATGTGCTTACAATATATCTTAATTAGATTCATCCCTCCGGATTCTCCCTAGCCCCTCTCCTCCCTTCTGTTGTTCTATTTTCATACACATATACAAAGTACATTGACCATATTCCATATTCGCACTCCTTCACCCTGTCCATTTACCCCCTCCCTCCCACTCCCAGACAAGACGTGTTTTACCTTCCTGTCCTTCATTTTTCAGTGCACGCTGATAGTTGAAGGGATTTCATCTTGGTGTTTCACACATGTATAGATAGTATGTTACTCAGATTAACCCCCTCTGTTGCTTACTCTTTCTCTGTCACCCTGCTCCCTTGTTATTCACAGCTTTCAGGGCATTTCCTTATGCTATTTTCATACACAGATGCAATGTATATGATTCATTTTCTGTCTTTCTCTTTTCCTCTCCCACCTCCCTGTAGCCCCCTCAGACAGACCCACTGTTATAACCACGTGACAGCAGGAGTCTTGTGTAGACCCAGGGCTGGGTGGTCACAGCAGGCATATAGCTCTATAGGGAAGTGTAGTGATGGAGAAGGGAGACAGTGGTGGGAATTACCAATATTATCCATGGCCTCAGACAATGCTGGGACTTAGAGTTAGAAATCTCAGATTATGATCCCTTTGAAAAGATGAAGAAACGGAGAATCCAAGAAGGGAAGTAAGTTAGCCAAAGCCATACAGGTGTCAAGTTGAAAAGCCAGGATTCAAGCCATGTCTTCACTTCTAGGAGCAGATCCTTTCCCAATAAGCTGAGGAAAAGCTTTTTTTAAAGGATTTAGGGTCAGGTACCCAGAGTTCCAGTTTTCTCTGTCCAACATATAGTGTGATGTTTGACAAGCCACTCCTTCCCAAGAGAGACCTACTTCACTCACCCAAACCATAAAGCTACCATCAGGACAAAAGAGAGCAAGGGGCAGGACAGAGCTCTGAGATGCACACATGTTAGGTGTGCTGTAAGGGTTATGGCACCCATTTTCAAAGACTGATAAAAGCCCTTTTGAACCTAGGTGAGGGGGAGACCGTTGGTCATTTGGTCTCAGGTTTGTCTCTAACCTCTGACTCTGTTCATCCCCCAGGAAGCCAGGTGTGGAGGACAGCTCTGGCTCCACAGCTGAGTGGACTGTCTGTGTCCTTATGAATGAATGGGAAGGTAGGCACAAAATACTGATAATTATTTGTATCTAAATAGTGTGATTCAGGATTATTTTATCATTTTGTTTAAACTAGCTTGAATTTCCTAAATTTAAGTCTTTTTTTAAATTTAGAAGCAGAAAACAATGGGATGCAATAATTTCAAAGTATAAATTACTAAAGCCAACTTAAAATGTGTCAGCCTCTTTTAAAGGCATCTGCCTTTTGATAGGGCCTAATCCAGTATTTTATCGTATTTCACTGTTTGTTGTGAGGAAGTGACCTGGAAGTGCAGGACAATGAGCATCTCTGGTCCTGGCACACCTTGCTGGTCACCTCTGAGCACACACATGACACACGCATGTTTCCAGGAGGCCCTGGGTGGGGAGGTGGGCAACACAAGCAGCCTGCACATGCATGAGGAACGCTGAGCCTCCTGCCCTGACCCTCTGACACTGTTGAGTAGCTAGTGGCAAGTTCCTAAGTCACAGAGAGACAGCCATGGAATGCAGTTTTGATTGGCTTGCTTCCTGGACAAAATCCAGCCACTGTATGCTTTCTGAGCACTTGCCTTTGGGTATCCCAGACTTAGAGGTCACTACACCAGGTGTTTTATTTTCTGTCCAGAGATGCGCTTTATCCTCCAGATTGCTTTTTGGTACAGTCAAGAACCAGAGGACACTGTCTCCCACGTCCTCTTGCAGAGCTCCTTTTGGCTTCCCTTGCAGCCACCCCTGCCCATCCAGACTCAGCCTAGTGCCAGGAACACTCATGGCTGATTCCCTTGTGGCCATTAAGACAGGCTGCCTTGAACTAGCTTTTATCTCTTTCAGAATGGCTCTAAGTGCCTTTTAATAAACCACTCAAGAGGGTGTGTGTTATTGATGTATCCACATTTTAAATTCCCATGGGAGTTACTTATTAGTAGTTTTTAACTGTGATTCTTCCCAGCCACAAATTTGTACCACAGAATTGTGGAATTTCAGAGCCATGTTCTTGGTTTTCCATATGAAAACTTTGACTGTAGTAACCAGTGTTAAGTTTAAGGTCATTGTTCTGAAAAAAATAAAACAGAAACATGATTATATATTACCATCCTTTCTCTCTCCCCTCATACCCTCATACGAAGTCCATGCCCTCTCCTACTTGAAACATTCCTTCCTTTTCCCTCTTTCCTACTGAGATACCTTATCCCCAATCTGACATTGCGTGAATAGCACTGATGTGTTTTCCATAGTGCACCCTCAGCACCCAGCTCCGTCTTTCCACCCCTACTTCCCACTTCAGACCTGTTCCAACTTCCTTAATCCAATACTGAAGACGTTGACAAGAAAACACCTGGTGTGCATTCCCAGTTTTACATGGTAGCTACCTTCCTAGTACATCTTGAGCAGGGTTCAGAGATTCCTGCCTTCTTGGATCCCTTCTCCATCTGGATTTGGACTTCCAGAGAGTAGGACCCTACCAGTGGTCTCTTCCATTGTTTCATAGTTTGGAATCTGCAAAGCTGACACTCAGGACCATTTATTTCTCCCAGGATTCATTTTCTGCCATGAGGTGAACTTGATCATGGACTTGTGACACATAAAACTAGATTTTACCCATGAGTGACTAAACTGAATGTGGATTTAGCAAATTGTGCCCATGGTACTAAGTGTTAAAACAAGTAACAAAAAGCCCAGAATTACTAAACAACATAAAAGTGCTATAAAAAATATAAACACATGGGTTAAAAGTCTTTTTTCCAAAATTGTAAACTGGGACTTCTCACCAGGGTATTACACCATCAGGTAAACTAATTATGATGCTTCCACAGAGCAGAGAGAGCAGCCTCTGCTCCAACTTTTCTGTCAAGGAATTGGAAAAGAGAGAAAAGGATAATGGAGACATTTCACTTCCTCAAACATGCTAGTCTGAATAAACTAGAACTGAAGAAAACCAAGCCATGCAGGTGTGGTCACCTTCCTCAGGGAATGACCTCCAGGAATTCAAAGACCAGGGGAGGTGCCAAAGAGCGGGAGACAGGAAAAGCTGCAATCCTGAATTTAGAATGCTGAAGGTGAACTCATGAACTTGACAGCAAAAGGAAGCAAGGAGCTACAAGGTGCCCTGGACACCACAGTCCCAAATGAGTTGGACTGGAGGGTCACGTGATATTACATCAGCAAAGGATGAAGAGCCTAGGGCGTTTTACTGCGTGCAGAGTCCAACACCAGGTACCAGTGGGATGCACCTGCCAGGAGCTGCTGTTATGTTTGGCTGCATTAATAGAACAGGTGTTTCCAAAAGAGAACATCGTGACTACCCTCCCCTGGGACCTGCACACCTGGCTACGAAAACTGAGTCATCCTCCATAGACAATAATGATGACCCTTCAAACCATAGTGTAATGAGAATTTCATGTGATATTTACCCTAGGCACAGAGCCCACACACCGACTTTATTTTTTAGCACAATGAGTGAAACATGACAGGGGCTGTCCTCTCTATTCTTAATTGAACATGACATCAAGGAATGTGCAAGTTTTCCCTACTTCTTTCTCTCTGCCTGAAGCTGGGACTCCTCAACTGTCTGCATAATACTGGATCCTGAAACCCATGTGACTTGCTCGGTGATGGCACTGTGACAGAGGGAGGGTGTTTATGGCCAGTCAACTACATCAAGGGAGTGCTCCCATATACCCAGCATCCTATTTTTCTACTCAATATAAGGCAGATTTCCTAATAATCAGAGCTGTTTTAAAACAAGATGGGCTGCCTTGGGAAGGTGTGGGCCCTTTATCCTGACTACATCCAGGCAGAGTGAAGGCTAGTGACCCTCTGAAAGCCACATGGATTGGGAAAGGCATGGCAGGCACGAGGCTGGGTTTCTTCCAAACCCAGCACTCTGCTCCTACCTGCAGACCACCCTGGTTTTTTGTTTTTCGGATGATGAGTTTGATTCTTCTAATCAGGAGATAGCACCCTCCCCACCCCCCACCAACTACAATTTTAGGATTCTGAACCCATTTTGAAATGAAAAGCTCTCGATGTTTATTTCTCTGTCTTCTTCACTACCAGACCCTCCCTTAATTACTCAGCTGTGGCCACAGAATCCATAAGAAGAGGGGGTCGGCCTTGCTTTGTTGCTCCAGCTTTCCTACTCCATGAGAATGGCTCCACAGTGTTTCCTCCAGCTCTCTCTTTAATCCTGTATCTTTGTGGTAGAAACACTTTCTGCCTAGTGTGAGGTATCCCAGTGGGAGTCAACCTGTGACTGTCCTTCCCTCTTCACCTGCTTCCCAGTTGGCTCAGTCCAAATACTTTTGAAGCAAGATCATGAGTTTGTGGCTAATTTTAGACAATCACAGGATTTACAAATTAAGCATAACCCCAATGGCTTCCCTAGCAACCATCTCTGCACCACACGAGATACAAGTATTGTTCTGTTCAACAGACTCTGACATTATACAGGTCCAACCATGAAACTCAAGTGAGTATCTGCCCCGGTATGGGCAGAAAGAACTCTGGGCAGGGAGGCAGCAGATCTACGTGCTGGTTGTCCCCTGAGGTCCAATCCAGAGCAGGAATGCAGCCCAAGAGGCTAGTGACCGTGCCCAGTAAGGAAAGGACTGGAGCAGCACCAGGGAAAGGAAAATGTAACTACTTCTTTTTTCTTTTCTTTTTTTAGTCACTATTTATTTCATCTTTAAAAACATTATCATAGATTAATACTACAAAGGGTTTCACTGTGATATTTACAATATGCATATGACATACTTTGATCAAATTCACACCATCTTTATTAATCACCCTCCCCCCCGTTTTTAAAAGTTTTCGGTGGGTTTCAATTTGCCATTTTCATGCACATATAGTATCCTTTTATAATATTCACCTCTCCATTATCCTCTCCTTTCCCTCTCCTCCTGCCATCTGGTTCCACCCCTAAACAGTCTCCCTTTTTCAATCTTGCCATATTATAATTTTTTAGATCTATATTCTGCATTTCTATCATAAAACATTTGATATTTGTCTCTTTTAGCTTGACTTACTTCATTTAATTTCCAGTTCCATTCATTTTCCTGCAACTGACATAATTTCATTCTTCCTTATGGCTAAACAACACTCCGTTACATATTATTTTCCTTAGCCAGTCATCAGTTGTTGGGCACCTAGACTGGTTCTACAACTTGGCTATTGTTAACAGTGCTGCAATAAATTAATGTGGGTGTGCAAGGATCTCTCTTGTATGTTGATTAACACTCCTTCAAACATAGGTGCAGCTATTTCTAAGTGAGTGAAAACAACAGGCACAGAACAAGAGAGGCAAGGCATCTGTCTACTTGGACAAAGCTGAGGCACAGTGAAGCTGGATGCAGGCCCAGCTTCTTTGGCTGGGCAGGATATGGGCAGTACTTAAAACAGCAAAGCCAAGCCACACAATCCAGTGGCTGTGGGCATCTCAGTTTACTGTACTGCCTGGACCTGGGTGGCACCTTGGAGGGTGAGCCAGAAGGGAACACAGTCCTTGGCTTTTCACCTACACAGTAAGGGGCCCTGTTCTGTGCTTCTGGGCCCTGACTCTGAGCCAGGAACTGTGCTAGATGCTTTCTACTGTTTCATTTCATCTTCCTGGCCACCCACTGGGCAGTGATCATTATCATCACCATGTTGTAGATTGAGGCTGGGGACTTTGTGAACAGTCTCACAACCGGACAATTGTCTGGTTCAGACAATTTAACTTAACATTCTTGCCAAAACCTTTACTCCTCCCCTACCCATCACTCTTTCTAGCCAACATCAGAGGCTTATTTAAAGGAAATCTACTTCCAGTTTGCATATTCCTTAAGGATTTGAGTTTATGGGTCACTTACACTTGGTTTATTTTATTCTTTGTTCTCTGTACTTAGGAAGAAACAGGAGTTTGGGGTGTGACAGGACAGCTGGGGGGAGGAGGATTTGGAGCCTGGGGACACTCTGGGTTGCAGAGGTAAGAGGCTACTGCCCCTCTTTCCCCCACCAGGCATGCTCTGCCCATGAT